CGTTTAACGTTTAGTGGATTTGGGTTACATGACTCTAGAAAGTCCAGTGCTGAGAGCTACAAAATTAGCTATAAAAATCAAAGTGCTTACATCTTTTAAACGATTACGAAATTATTTATGTACTTTGTTCGAAAAAATTGTTAGTAATGTGAAATAGAGGAACAGTAATAATTTGGTCCTGGTTACAAAGCTCACTCTGTCGAGAAGGCCCGTCTAGCTGGTCTGGCAAGCGGGCAACCTCAGATGTCCGATATTCCATCTGGTTGGACGAAGCGTGCAATCTAGGTGGAGCATCATGAGATACTAACTCACTGGTGTTTGTGGAAGAAGTAGAGGTGGATAGAAGGCCAGCTAGCCTATGTCTTGCAAGCAGAACCAATTGAGTCGCCAAATCAAACTCACGCTCAGCCACTGCCACATCCAGATCTTCAGGAACCTCAAAAAGCCAGGAATCGGAGACTGAGTGAAATAAATATGAGATGCATTCAAAGAAGAATAGAAAGTCGATGAATTAGAGGCTCATAAAGACTTATTTTGATAAGAGCGGAGAAATCAGAAACAAAAAAATAATAAGTTGTTTGACCTTGTTTTCACAACTTGGTCATATTGGTAGAAAGACTTAGAGGAGCGCACCTAGTCCGGAGTCCATTGTATGCATGATGATATCCAAAGTCTGACCGTGGACGCGGCAAATTCACAGACGTTTCGCCGACATCGTAGTCGGCATCGTTAGTGAGTCTTGCCATACTTAGCACCACACAACAACTCGTCAAAGAGACAAGTGAAGCCGATCCTTTGGCCAAATGTGTGCTAAATAGTTGTGGTATCACTCTTTCTGTCCTGAGCTATTCAACTATCCTATATCCTCGTATAACGCCTTCAATATCATAATTTTTTCCTTGATTACTTAAATCTAGTGGTGCGCGCTTTTGAACGGCTTTCATAAGGGCCTTCCACAATACACGTTGGCGTTCTCACCTCCCTTCACCCTTGTGCTGTAAATGTTGATCAGATTTTGCCATATTGTTACGCCGTCCTTCTTCCATAGGTCTTATCAAAGTTTCCTTTTGCCCCGTAGGATCCGTCTGCTATCCCCCTGGTACAAGTATTTCAATCGACCTCTGCCACCCCATCTGTGCTACCCGAGGCGTTATTACCTCTCCCCTGCGTCTGGGTGACTAATTCGAGGCTAAAGCCTCCGAGTAATTCTCATGGCCAAGCCTCTGTTACATGGACCACGTCTATGGTAAAACAGGCCTACTGTCAACCAACTAGCTCTAGTCTCCGCCACGTCTATCCTCTTTCTATCCCTAATACCAAGACTATGCCTTCCTATGCCCTAGTATCTTGTATGACAGCCAACAAATGTTGTGGTACTGCTTGCTTTGATTAGGTTAAATGTTGAACCACAACGTTTGTGGGTTGCGCACAATTGGGCAAAACAATAATTGACTTAGTATTAGGGACAGAAACGGGATAGACGTAGAGGAGACTAGGGTTAGTTGGCTGACAGTAGGTCTGTTTTACCATAGACGTGGTTCATATAGCAAAGGCTTGATCATGAGACTTACTCAGAGGC